CGAAACAAATCAGCCAAACTGAAATCGACTAGACCGCGCAAATGTCCTCAAGGTAAAGCTGGAGGCGCCACTTCAAACAGGGGATATGCCTTATCAACGCCCTATTATGACACTAGATAAACTCTAAGACTTCGCAAAAGTGCATGAAAACACAACTACGATACAGGTAAATGTTTACTATACTGTGATATACAATCGACATAAACATTTATATACGCATGAAACATTAATGTTCTTTCCTTGTTCACATACTTTCTCTTTCTGGTATTCTGCTGCTGCGCCTACTCTTCTATTTACCTTCTGGTCAAGATCGAAGAACGCTACATTTAAAATGAAATGAAGGTGGACTCCAGACCATTTAAGTAAATTCACACGTCTCCACTCAATCTACTAGCTCATAACCACTCAAATTCCATGAACGATCCCATGCTACCACTTGAAGACGCTGGCCAACATTCTGTACAAGGAGTATTCATGGTCTGAAATAAAGAATGAACTGGTTTTCAAACGGTTTTCAATGTCTTACTCAACTTATGTGTATAGTCTGTCATGGAGACACAAATGGCGCCAATGGAGTTCTGGAATCGACCTCGGCCCCATTTCATGCAGTAAAACAATCCAACATGACCTTATCTAGTTTCCGAATCCACGGTCGAATTTCTCTCCTATTATAAAACTACGATTAGACTGCTGAAAAAATGGAATAAATATATCACTGATCTCGACATAATACATCAATAAACTTTAAGTCAAGGATGCTGTTCACAACAAAGTTATATAGGAGAATTGACTTGAAGCTTTATTTTTCCTAAGTATTTGTATTACATTCATCTGATGTCTGGTTTTTTGTTAATGCGAAGACAATATTTCTATATCTCTTTGTGTGTTACACAAACAGACTATTTAGCACTGTTCCGACAGACTAATGTCAGAAAGAACAACCAAACTGTAAATTCACCATACATCGAAATATGTGTAATTTATATAATAACTTATCCATGCCTGTACAATTGGTATGTTCCTGCATAAACAGGAATAAATATATATTATTATTAGTAGTAGTAGTGTGGTGAGAGCAAGCTGCTAGCCAATTGGTAGACATTGATCTACGCTGATTGGTGGAAATTAATCTAGGCTGATTCAACAACCGATCACAGCTGACCTAGACGTGGACAAATATGATTCGCAGACAAGTGGCTCGCATTTCCGAGAAATATCGAAAACGAGAAAGCAGAAGACTGCGTTTGTTTGCAAACAACCAATCAGAAGACCGCCTTCTTTCTGCGGGCAGAGCCTTATTAATGTACGCAAAATACATATAAATACCTGTTGGTTTTCGTAATAAAACTGATCTGTTGCCTGGCCCTTGTCTTCTGTTGTTACAGTAGGTCCATCGAAGCATCATGAAATGATAAAAGTATTTAACAAGTTATGCGGTAGTCTCCAAAGCTTGTACAAAGATTTAAATAAAATGACACCCGCTGTGTGACGACTAATGAGAGTCTTGACAGCAGTAATAATAACGTTCATGTTCATAGTGACTATAAAAAAATAATAGGTATTATTATCGCAACGAGTTAATCATTAACTTAGATTGACAACTACTAACAATACAATCATATCAATTAAATGTATCACTTAATCTTCTGAAGCAGGTGTTTACTTACTTTCACTGTATTCTCGCCATACTGATGTGGTCAACTAGCTTATTCCAAATGAACTCAAAGTTAATTCTCAAATTGAATTGAGATCCAGTTTATGTCAAATAAAACAGCCTCCATGTATTACACTGCTTACTATGACGTTTGATACGTACTTTCCTATCTTCGTGACAAGAACACACTATATATATTATTTTGATTATAGCTTGAAACCATGCTTTATTTTTGGTACAAGTATGGAATTTTCACCATTTGATAAAGGTAGCCCAAATTTTGCAGGCCGACCATTGATATCAGGTGTTCGTCGGCAGATGATTGAACCCCGGACCATGTGCATGGTCGGTTAGAGTCCTAACCGCTGTACCATCGACTCATATACATAAGTATACGTAAATGTTGCACCAACCATGCTGTCTTTATCATAGTCAACCAGAGCGTTGTGTATTTTGTACTTGTTTTAGGGTCTCTGAAAATAATATTCAAGCGATAACTGAAGTTGCATGAAGTTATCACCTCTCCGGAACATTGATTGCATTCTCGACACTCCTGCGAAGTCCTTAGATCTAAATATGGGATGAATTCATTGAATTCAGCAAATAAATCCTCTCGTATATCATTTATATCCTGAGCTGTAATAGTGTGTGTTGTCAATTATGCACCCGACTCGAGAAAAGGGTCCTGGAAATTGCGAACTTAACCAAGCAGCTAAATGATGTTTCAAATTACCACAACCCGAATGACAAACTGGCCGATCACAAGTTAGTAAATCACTTGTTTGTCTCACTCGCGGGCAAACGAAATCACGGCCGTCGACAAGCTTCCCCATATAATCGCCTGATGACCAGATTGTTATTAGCACCGTCCCTAATAGTGAAAGGAAAATATAACATTTACGGCTGGTGAAAGATGCATTTGATGACTGTGAATTGAAGGGATTGTACAGGTAGATAACCACACAACAACGAAGCCGCCGATATCCTTTCCTTTCAAAATTATCCTGACCACCTTGTGTTTCACCACGCATGGATAAACAAGTTGGTCTTTGACAGTGAAACGGCTGGTGTTCGATTGACCTGACGGGTTTATCTAGTCCTCCACAGTTCTATGCAACACCACCCAGATGAGATGCTGAAATATCTTTTCTCCACAGAAAAGCAGTTAGCAGTTATAGTTCTGCTGGAACATTCATATACACACGCATTCTAGTTAGCAATATTTTAACTGATTGCTGGCACATAGACTTGCAGATAATCCTGTTTCATCTCAAATATCTGTCGCACAAGTGGATGTCACGAAGTTATATCAGTTTCACTACTCATTACTTCAATTATACCCGAGCTGATTCTTTAGCGCGCAACGCTATTAGTACTGCTACTTTTCTACCGGAAATAAACCCTCTTCTCCAGTTTCTGCTGTCCTTCCGCTTTCTGTTTCAGATTGTCCATTCACATCGGATTATGCCGGCCCCCCACGCTCCTCATTCACACAGTAACGTCTGTCAATGAATCAAGTCAAACGCAGTTGGTTATGATGGGGAACCAAATTTAGAAACTAAATAGCCTCGTCACGCCAGTTGCAACGTGTATTTACATGCTAATTTCTGGAGTTACGCAAATGAGTATTCATGGCGGGTCGACGCTGAAATTCGGGCGTCTGATGTTAATGCGGATGTGTACCTTGTAGGCGACTAGCGACACGGGCGACGGTTGTGCTAACGCGTGACGTCGGGATAGATACCCATAGTCTTTGAGATATTGTCAAAATTGCAAGGTTTTCGGAAACATTTTCCTTCCTGGCCATAGGTATTGTGATACCAACATTAGTCAGGTTTTTTAGTGAACGTGGCTTGGATTTAGACCGGCCATGTGGGTTTTGCAGTTGTAGGGAGTTCAGACGACGATAGAAGGAATTACTAGGTGTATATGAAACCCAAGTAGCTGCTGGACGGAGATGCATAACTCTGTCACTGCGGTGTCCCTACTAGAAGTCTGTTTGGCAACTAAGCATATTTCAGTAACTGGCCGTTTTGTTATTTCTAGAATTTTATCTGCAGAAACAGCTAAGTCATCCATAATAACACCCTGAATTGTCACCAGCACAGCCTGTACTGACTGTGGCAGTTTGTATAAGAACAGTTCTCTGAAAAGTCCCTCATCGAAATGAAGTTGGCCAATAACTTTCCTCATTCTCGTCAGCATGCTCACAGCCGACTGATCACCTAAATCCACATTGCGAAGTAGTTCATCAAGACGTTGTCGATTCGTGAGAACGTTTCTCTTCATGAGGGTTGCTTTTAGCAACTCGTACGAGTTACTTACCTCTGGACTCGACATATGCACAGTTACGCATTTTCCTAGTCCTCTCTGTAGGTCGTGGACAACTGCAAGGAACTGTGGACGTTGATCAGTAAACCCATGTTCACTGAAATCAGACTCGACTATCTGAAACCATGATTCTGTATTCTCTGACCAAAATGGCACGAGCTGAATAGTTTCGGTAGTTGATCGAATACGGATGACCTTATGAGTATGATCACTCATGACGAAATATATATAGTTTGAAAATAGTACAAGAACAAATACAAAGTGGAATGAACTCTCTGGATTTGTCTGAGTATTCACCTGAGATGAAGTTCGCTGTAGGGCTCACCAGATTATAGGCTGAGGGCGTTGACGTTCACGGATAGTACGAAGCATACTAACGCAAGATCTAATATCCGCAACTTCTGCAATAGTCGTTCCGCGTATACCAAAGGCAAAGCAAAACACAAGAATCGACCGTCCAAATCACCAGTTATATTTTGGGATCAAATCGGAGTGCGAGATGATTGCTTAACTAGCTAGGGATCGTGCACGAACAAACGAACGTGACACGACGGTGTACCAAATGGCGTGGATGGCTAAACAAGTTGACTTAAACAGTGAGGGTCATTATCCACTTTTCAGTGATGAATGCTATGGCCAATAATTCTGGGGAATAACCTACCGCTACAAGTCTACCCTCAAATTAACGTTGGGATAAGAAACACCTTGCGCTTTGATAAATTTGACTGTGTGAGAAGACTTCCACAGACGCACTTTATATGTGAGTCCAGGGAGAGTAGCTTACCTATTGCCCATATTTTCGACAAATCAAATCACGGAAGCTCCTAAACTGATGAAATGAAGGTCGTCTTTGCTGTTGTCAGATTCCGCATAAGATGAATAAATAGTATTCATAGTTTAACACAAGACGATCCACCCCGAAACTACACAATCTTCTGCAGGTTCGGTGATGTGTTGTTTGCTTTTTGTTTAAGTAGATACACATGCGAACGGCGGCTTCGTTCGGAGTTTATTAATGTCGGTGAGCACCAGGAATAGGATCATCCAAGTCACTAATGTGTCGCCGTCTGCGACATCCGAACAGCTACGTACATTATTTGGTCATGTTGGGGTCTTAGAAGATGTGGTTGTGTATCCCCCAGACGACAGAGAAGAAACGGCAAGCAAGGTAAATGTTTATGGCATATCGTTTTGAAATGCAGGTCTGCTATATTCGTTATCAAGAGTCTATAAATGCTGAAGTTGCTCTGCATCTAAACAATACTGTCTTTCTTGACAGAGCACTGATAGTGCTCCCACTTTCAGTTGACAAGGACTCTATTCCCGACGAGAAGTATGCCAACCTTGTCAGAGCTCCTCCCAACACTGCTGCTGGAGTCCTTCCTCGCACAGCTGACTGGCCTCTGGATGTAATCAGTATGGTAGTTGGACGTCCTGGTGAACAAGTTATTCATACATTGGAGCCACGTCTATCTAGTCTGGCATTCCCTCTGTACCCACCTCTTCCTGCTACCACTGATGGGAGCCGCATAGAAGAGATTAGGAGAACCATTTTGGTCACAAATCTGGATCCCAAGACAACTGGTGATCAGGTATGTTGGTTTTAGGCTTTATTGAGGCAGCTAAGTTCATCAAGAGTGCCACTAGATTCCGGCGTTTTCCAGGAACGAGTGGTAAAACTGCACGTTAGACTGCAGTGTATTTACTGATGAGAAATGAGGTTATTTGACTAGGGCACCCTGGGGCACTTTCAAGTGCATGATACCATCTGGATATTGTATTAGTAGTTTTGTTAGTTTAATCCAAAGTCTTATTCATTTCTGTGCGTCTAAAGTTATTGCCTACGGATATTTTGTATATACTTCGAATAAATTATCTGCAAATAACAATAGTACCTAACGATTCCTCTGTGCTTTTTGTGTATCGTGTTTTCCAGCGCTACTGGTCATCGACAATGTGCCGTCGCAATAGCACTACCTAATCGATGCGTAAATAAAACTCTTGCGATTGCGGTTTCAAAGGGGTCGGTGGCTTTCCTGTACATTTTTATCTTTTCTTTTTTGTTTTTGCAAATTAGTTACCACTGCGTGAGGCCTAACAGTCTCATCCTGCTAGAGCGACCGATTTGGTTATAACGATATTAATAGAATAATTCTATGTGAAGTGCTTGGTTCTGCGCTTTCAAGGAGTTCCCGCCCGACTTAAGGTAACTAATAGGGTTACCTAAGCGCTAGTCTTACATATCCTGTTATTCACTAGTTAGATTTGTATTTTAAGCTTCGTGATTTAGCGGAGGCCGTTCACTATATTCGTTTTCTTTCAAGTCCATTTAATTTTAGGTATTAGAGTTCTTCAACAAACACGCCGAAGTACGTTGTGTACGGATGGCTGGAACTGAGTTTGATCGGGCAGCTTACGTGGAGTTCACTCAACAGCCATCCATCATTAAGGCCTTCGGCCTCATGGGGGCTACACTGAACGGTCGTCAGGTTTGTTATGCTTCACAATTAACCTACTTTAGATAATGGTGCAACATTCTAACTGTGCTATCATCAAACCTGCCAACAATGTGACGACGCTTGATGATATAAATAAGCGTTCAGCTCTAAACGAACAGTCGAGTGGTGGACACGGTAAGTTTGCTTCGTTAAATATTTGCATCGTATTAATGGACATTGCTATTGTCCATTGGGTATCATGAATATTCTCAGGAGACTGAGTAAGGAAACCACTAGCCCTATGATATTTTTGTTTGGAGGTAAACTAATCAGAGGGAGTTAGCTTTTACTAAACACTCTTGTGGTACTTATTCGGTTCCAACTTTACCTACGTTCCAGTGTTTCAACTGCTGATAGGTTACAATCAGGAAAGTAGGGTTTACTATAACCACTTTCCTGTGTTGCCAACTAATTTTAAGCTGTGCTTACACATGAGTGTATCCACTGCGTAACAGTATATGTATTGTAGTCGATGGTTTACACGACTGCCTATCTGTAAAGCCACGTTTCCTGAAACCCACTCCAAATACTACTGTTCTAAACAATACCAGAACAAATTTCAGTGTGCGCTGTATTGAAAAAAGGTGACAACGAAATGTATCTGGTGTGTGACCTCTATACTACTAAAACTTAGAATTAGTCCCAATGTGGGACTTTAAATTCACCGAGACCTTGGATTGTGCTGTTCAGAAACTATTGTAAGGAATCCTTGTGATCATTTCTCTATTGAGATAATCCCTTTCACCCGAGAGGAAAAAATAAATTTTAAATCCTTGGGAAAAATGCATATTTGAAGTACTAAGAGGCTTTACAAGGAACTTAGATTATCGGGACAGTGGTTATAGTAACGTGTCCTGGCTCTCAAAAAGAGCCACAGGATAATCACTCATTATTTGAGACTGTATCCAGCATAACAGACATGAAAATATCATAATGATAACGTGTAAGTACAATCCATATTTTGTCATAATTTATTCTTGGACCACAAAGACAACTCGATGCGGAATTTATCTATCGGGCGACGTGACCCGGTAAACAAAAATAAAAGTGTATTCGCTGCAACTCAAATTTCACTGACAAAAGTTTATGTGACACAGTATCGAAGTAGCAAATGTACCATGTGAACAAGTTTGTTGCCGCGATATATTTTCAGTCACCGCACGGCTCGATGCATAAATCAATTTCTAACCTTGACTCGTTGTTGATTAAAGATACGCCACTCATGCTAACTGATTCCCACTTACTTTTACTCACCGTTTACCGCATTTAGCGCTTTCACAGTATGCACGATGCTACATTTATGCCTTGTGGTTCTGTGCATGCATCATAGATCTGGTCGTAGGTAAGCGTCCCTAATTGACTTCCTCGATGTGATTGACTTATGTGAATCTAGTATCCGAGTATTCGGTTACTATGCACATCCATCTTATCTGATTTAGCGCGAATAATTAATTACCGAAAACAAAAACTTATCATTTGTCTGTAAACTATTGAAATACAAGTATAATTTATCTGATCTATTCCACAGTGCTCACACTTTTTACTGACGCTAGTATCATATGCCTTTACAAGTTGCTAAATTGCATACTCCGATATTATCGCTATTCCACTGAAATTTACTGAGTTTTCCTTGTATTTTTATACTTATTCAGGCAGTAAACATAGTGATCGTGCTCGCTCACGCTCCCGATCTCGGGCCCGACGTTCACGGTCCAGACGTAGATCAACTTCAAGAAGATATCGAAGTCGCTCCAGAGATAGACGACGCTCTCCCTCTCGCCATAGTCGAGACAGAAGACGGTCGCGGACACGGTCTCGTTCTAGGTCCCATGGGCATCGACGCCACACACGTTCGCGTAGCAGAGATCGTCGCAGAGGTGACCGTGTAAGGTCAAGGTATGCTTTTTGAAATTCAGCTTTCCAGTTTGCATAATTTTATGAATATCTAGATTTACCATGATCAGATTTTTGTAAGCACATAATCATAATATATTCTCAATTTATGTACATGAGAGACGCCAGCTTGCGGGCATCATCAATATGATAAGTAATATATACATAGAGTAAGCATATTTACATTTTTTCGCGAACACAGAATATATATATATATATATATACAAGGAAAGGTAATGGAGTAATGACAGTAAGCACACTTTACATAAGTTAAAACAATGGTAATACGAGAAACTACGGTGAATTGGTGTAGATATCACAGTGTCGTCACCGTCATTCTTTGTTTTCCACTCAAGGGATTCACTAAATCGGTTGCAGCGTGTTAGACTAGCTCATATTAGTTTGAAGCACGTCCCTTCAAGGCGATCGGTAGAAATCAAATAGCGTCACATCAGAAATGCGTAAACTATCTAGCCTGCACAAGGCTGCTGAGCTACACTAGGAACTAAGTAAGGTATTTTCCTGAACTCATACTACGTAGGCTATGGCGAATAAATAAATATTATACTTTCTAGTTGGTAGAATGACATGAATATCGTCAAACCTTGAGTCCCACATAAGACATGTACTTATGCCCGACGCGTTCATCCTTTCTATTGTAATCACAATTGTTCGACATGCATTTCATATCCCCGTATCGTTTTATGCACCATTTACATGGCTTTTCACATTATCCAGTCAGTTTTACATTACTAGCGTTCCAAGTAGGGCAAAAGGTGTCGAGCTTCAGAAATTTCGATGGTGGTGAGGTCGCCAGTCTCACGCCCAATCTTTCTACTCTTCGACGAGGTTTAGAAGTGCGTCGGCCAGGAATTTAATTTAGACCTGGCTGGCCAGCATTCTCCCATCGAACTGCCGATGCAAGCGCTTAGCCCTAGGCTACGCCGAGACGAACTCAATTCGCTGCATTAGGAGTGCCAACTATTACACCACGAAGCCTATCAAGTCACCGCCGGATGTTATTTTCACTCCATGTTTTGTCGTCATTCACCGATGATACAGACTTTTCAATTTATGAAGATCTGATTAATTGGCACGCAATACAGGAGAAACACTTGGCATCACTCCTTAGCGCTTCGCCTACGGTTGACTAGGGTAATTGAATGATAAGGGTTAATCATATCACTTACCCTTGCTTGCCCTGAAAAAGGCTTTTGCCTAACACGCTGTTCAGTAAACAGAAACTTTCTGTCAAAAATGCTATTGTTAAATGAGGCAGAGTACATCGTAGCAAAGGTTTTGTAGCGAAACAGTGGGTTAGTATTCCGTGAAACGCCAAAAAGAAACCAAACTTACGAAATTACCCTACCATATGCACACAACAGTTTCGTCTTTATATGTTTGAAAGTATGCTCATACACACAGCTGCAAATTAGTTGTACATGCACCTGCTTTACCTTCAAATTTTGAGTCAACAATTTCACTGACGTCTATCCCTATGAGCCTATTCTCTTAGTATGCTTGTGTACTAACCAATTTCCTATTCTATTTTATCAGGTCCCGTAACCACAGGAAGTACCGCCATTCCCGTTCGCGCTCTGGTCGTCGATATTCACGGAGTCGATCAAGAGGTCGTCGGGGTGAGCACTGCGACCGAATCAGTAGAAGCATTAGGGAGAGAGAGCGAACCCGAGATCGTGAAAGAGATCGGGAGAAAATTCGAGAGAGAGATCGAGAAAAGGACCGCGAACGCAATCGTGAACCTGACCGCAGAGAACGAGAACGCGATAAGGGTCGTCACTATGACAAAGATCCAGAACGCAGACGTGATAGTAAACCAGGAAAACACCGTGATGCTACACCAAAGCAGAGTAATAGTCATGAAACAAGTCGACACGACAAAAGGGAAAGAAATACTGAAGCAAACGGAACGAACCGTCGTCGTAGCCTGACCCCTAAGGACGAAATTCCATCCCCACGAAAGAGTAAGTTGAACAATAGTAGCTGTAGCAACAGTGACGACGAGAGTACCAAGGTATGCAGTACCGAGGTGATGGAGAATGGTAAGACCCAAAGCGATGACGAAAGTCAGTCGGTCACTGATCAGCAGACCAAACCAACGGTTGTAGGTGTAAAGTTGGCAGGCCCTGAGGATATGGACCATATATATCCCGAGGACTCACCAATAAAATCACCCGCTTCGCATAATTCACCGACAGTGAGTCATCCGGTGAAGCCATGGACACAGAAGCGTAGGTTTTCGCACCCAATGTATCAAATTCTTTATCTTCATTGTATCATACTTATTCTTGAAATTCTTTTGTCTTGATGTAATGCAAAAATATAGGGTCTTCATCTTTTCCCATTGCATATCTTTTTTTACTCATGTTTTATTTGAGCATCGCTGCTAGGACGCAGCTATCGGGGAGATGTTACATGTAGTAGCACAACAGCAGTAGTGCATTATAGCCATAAGAGCGCAAAGACAAATGAGGCTAAATTGCGCCTTTGATCAAATCACTGTAGTTCACCATCAGTAATCCTGAACAACTGGTTCTTATAAAGACTACAGTAATGCTTATATTGATTGGAGTCGGAAGTTAACGGAAGCGTCTAACAGTTGGATGACATGGAGGGGTATGCGTGAGGAGTTCTGGGCTTTTGCATTCGTGTGTGCTATCATCCCCCTGCTCTCGCCACCAACAGTCGCATCCAGCAGGGGAAAGAGTAAAACTGACATAGGCAATAGTTCTGTTACTGACGATATCGACACGTGTGACCCTAGGTAGATCTTGAGTCCTGACGATGAACTGCACCAATCTATTATGTGGAAGTTCCCTCACCTCCCAGCGGAGTATCCTTGTGAACTTAAGATCCCAGTAGCGACGCGTCGGTTCACGTCAAGGATATTCTAGCCTATAACGGACAGGACAGTAACAACTGAATAATTTGTCTAGGGAATAATCATATGTACCCCACTGTGTGCATTGTAGATTAACAGTATCTTCTTAATAGATTATGTGATTTGTGTCAGACGTGTTGGGAAGAACAGAAATTATAACGCCAAGACTGAATCCGAGTAAAAATCGTTTATTCAATTGCGCGTGCCAGTGATATGCAATAAAAGCTGGCAGAAAGAATCATACCATCCTATTTTTTATTTACAAATGTTAGAATAGGAAAATCAGAAGTTAAGAATCAGTTCAGCTACTTGTTGCGGAGAGTATAGTTCTGCTGCAACATCTTCCTTCGGAAGTGGCGTGCTCATATCAACCATTGTTTGATACACAGATTGGTAATAACAGTGAATCTGATCTGCAGACCGACGACGAACTAGTCTCTTTAGTTTTTGTGCGTAGATCTTATTCACTTCAGGAAGAAGTAATTCATCAGGATTGGAAAGGTATGCGTTGAAGTCCTTCTGAAATTAAAATGAAGTCGATTAATATTGGTAACCATAATAATATTAGTTATGATAACAGAAATTAATTTCCGTGCAACGTTAGCGTTTCACTGGAAGGATGGTGTCTCATAGACATTACATTTATTAGTTGCTGATCGTTGTAAACCGCCGAGCTAGTAATCTGAAGGTCACTTGCTTTAGGTCCTATTGTGACACTATTCTTTATTTCACCTTCAATCCCTACTGATTCAAGGAACATCGACTTACCAGACTGAGCTTACCTCGGATGGTTTCACCATAAATCATATAATTTCCTCCAGAAGCCCGTGCTCCTGCTATAAATGTGGCTAGTGGTATTGCATTGTACACGCGATATCTCTCACCCAGTAAGACAGTTTCAGCCGCTGATTTACGCACACCAAGTGTGCGAGGTACATGCTGATCAACTCAAGGTTATTTGGAATCACAGATTGCGATGTAGATTTAGATATCTTATTTGATGACTGCAAACGCGATTTAATAGTCGTTTGATCAATACCCAGATAACTTGGTGATCTCTGCACACTGATTCGTGTGCCAGTATTGATGTTGCTCATCGTATGGTTTTGGTTACCAGCAACCACTAGTTATCATGATGGGTTGAGGACAAATCATACTGTAAACACTTCCGATTTCCATACATATGAAGTATATTCCTCACGGTAACGTTCGTTGTTGACAAATGTGAATGTAAATTATATGGAGTTTTTCGTGGACAACATTCTAACTCTTATGCTGTTAGAACTCGGTCGTCTGGAAGATGCCCTCAATTGGCGATATGACATTTTTGAAACCGGGACTGTTTGACCACCTAAGAGTTTTATGTAAGGGTAGAACGTATTCGTTGTGGTAGAATATAATTCTGTACTGGGTAATCGTATTGCAAATATCACATAGTAATGGAGTATGAATATCTGGATGACGTTTGCATCGCACAGACTAATAATATCAGTTGATACAATTTTTTACTTGTGTTGCTTAGCATTGCACGTGTGCGTGTATAGTTTGTCAACATGTGTTCGATCGGCAATCAAGTATTTAGAGTATTTTTATGTTTATGGTTTACATATTAGGAAAAAACAGAATCAATAGGAATGCTGAGCTTTGTGTAATTTTAATTATTAGCTTACCAGTAAATTTGAAAACTTAGCTCTAGTGAACGTTTCAAGTTTTGATTCTTTCAGAGTTTCATTTATATGGGAAAGACCAGTACGTTTGATCACATAGGAAAACTGAGCAGACACCAATGAATTCAGACACGTATCAAGTTTTGACGCTATATATTCTCTGTGAAAGCTACCAAAAGGGATTTTGGAAAGACTGGCTTCAATAGCACAAAGGCAATTAGTCAAATAAGTTGTTGATGGTGACGTGAAAGATGAGTCGACTGTGTCGTTGATATATTGATCGTCCATAAGTTGGATGTGCGACTGAGAGCTAATTGGTATCAACACAGCAGATTTTTCACAGTATTCGATTAAGGGGAATATAAGAGCATCGGCTATCTATAACGACATAAGAAAACAATGTGATTATCCCAACTAAGGTGTTAAGTTAGCATTTGAAGGTTTGATTTCAATTTCAATACACGAAATCTGTTGTTGATCTACAGTACAAAAGTAACCTCATGTTTAAATGAAGAACAGACTTCACTAACACTAACCACTTCAAAGAAGTCGTATTTCTTATGATAAGTTTATTCGAATCAAGTGTGCTTCTACACTCACTTTTCCAATATAGTGAACGGATCATAACTGCTGCTATACGAACAATGTAACACAAAAGAAAAGTCCAATCGTAAATGAGATCTCAGTGGATAGTCTTTCTGTATGCTAAATGACTGAATGGGCACTCAAGAATAAGGAGATACAATACTTTTGATATCTTTTCATATGCCCCCCTAATGTGTGGAATAACTGCAGCTCAGATAAAGTAAATGTGTTTGACCAAAAAACTTGTTTTACTGCTGAAAGCCAGTTGCTGATATAGTCAAATTAGTACGTAGATTTCTGCACAAGGACGGAAGCTGAGAGAAACCATATAGCAAACTGTAGGTGCCAGTGTAGTCCCTGCCAACCGAACTGAATCACCTGCAATCTTGTTTATATAACCATCTGTTCCAGGCCAACACTAACTAAAATGTAAGCACAAACATCTCATTTAGAAACAACCAGTATCAAACCCATGACGGACAAAAACCGAGCACCACTTCCAAGTTATGAACAGTAATGATCAGTGAAGGACTGATCGCAGCTTCCCAACACTTGAGTAAACACCGATTCCACCACATTTCGTCAGTGTACATTTAAGACAGAAACGGGGCAGTTATGAAGCTATTACGTGTCCAACTGACATCCAAATGAAAATAGGTGTGTGTCTATACAGGAGATAACAAACGACATGTCCACACATATTCCGACGACACTCATCCACAGTTAGACTAACAACATTTACTCTATAGTGTAGACATAATAGGAGGTCATTTCGCTAACTTACAGGAGAGTTACGAAAATCCCATAGATCTCTATGGCCTGAGCCAGAAGGGACCCCCCTATACATATAAACTGATCTGCGAATATTCATGATTAGCTGTCTTCGATCATAGGTGCCTGCGTTCCATCTCCCGCGTGAAGTGGTATAATAAGGTGAGCAATATTGAGGTTAGGCGTCGAGTGCTAGGTAAGGCGGGGAAATCAATCGATGAGACTGTGAAATTACATCGACTGAGATGTTTAGGACACGTGTTACGTATGCCTAGTCATCGCCTTCCTTGGCGGGCAATGTTAGCTGATATAGGACCAGGCTGGAAAAGAGCTAGCGGCGGTCAAACCAAAACTTGGCACCAGTCAATGAAATCCACAACAGTTAGTCTAAGTCACGTAGGAAGATGTAGACTTCCTGGTTGGGGTCCTCGAGACGGTAAAAACCAATGGTTGGAAACAATTGGTGACATGGCTCAAAATCGTTCTCAGTGGCGCAGATGCATCCACTCCTCGTGAATTATGATTTCCAATTAAACTGTTCGTTCTTCGTTATTACTATTCTTTTGTCTCACACCTCTGTTTACTGTCTATATAATGCATTTCTCCTACTTTCTTCTCTTCCTTTGTGTGCTACATGGAGTGTGGCGACTTGAACTGCCGCACATCAGTGCAAAGTTCTATGTCGAAAACAGACAGACAGAATATTCATGACATGAGGAGAAGAAAAGGATGCTAACTGAATAGAATTATTCATAATAACCGCATACAGTAGTGGGCCACGAAAGGGAAAAAATTTAAAAGGAATCAGCAGTAGCTAAAATTCATCAGTTATTAAAACCAATTACGGAAAATTTGTGATATAACTTTGCAGGTCTTCACGAATGGTAGTCATAAGTTAATGACTATATATTAACTGAGGCATTTAGTAGCCAGCACATGAGAAACACAATTAGTCTCATCGGATTAGTGCAAACAGTTGATAAAGAAGGAGATAAACTTTACTGGACCAATCACACGTACACAACAATGATCAAATCATCACTTATGATCTAGAACTTCGTAGTGTCACGAGGACTCAGTGAAGTACGGGAAAGGTGAATCTGATAAACCAAGCAGGTAGGTCAAATCCTATGTTAAAGGCAATAACTTGTTGTTAGGTAAAAGTCTAGTTGATTCAAAGCAGGGAGATGACGCAACATTTCTATCTGTAGCCACTGAAATAAATTCAGTCTACAAAATACCCTCAGGAAAAATTTAAGTACGTTTACAGAGTTGGCTCCTTTCAAATGTGTTATTCATGTCAAATTGCTGCCTTCCTCCACGACTAGTGTTAGCCATAGTACGATTAGGTTAGAAAAGATTTATGTGGGGTAAGAGCAAAACACGGTCTCAGTGCAGTCCATG